TGAGTCGTTCTTGCAGGTACATTTTGCAAGTTTAATTCAGGCACCGTTGAAATTGCCATTTCTCAGATGGGTGCTCAACAGGCTCCTCCTCTTTCCCATCTCACAGCTTAAAGCGATTGTTCCAATTACAGGAGGACCTTCACATGTTAAGAAACAGAAGTCTCTACTTCTTTCAAGATCATCTCAGTAAGGAAAAACTGCAGCTTTTGTTCCTAACAGAAATAAGACTTGTGTAGCAATGTAGCACAACCACAGCCTCTGCTGCTGAGAGGGGAATATCTATGAGGAGAAGATTGCATGCCTGAATAACGTGCGACCTTAGGGAAGGGAGAGCACTGACTCCTTCACTGGATGAAGGAGAAAAGCAAAGTAGTCATTGAAATCTCAGAAAAGAAGGTTGAAATGAGCAACAAAAGTCTACAAAGGAGGAAAGAGAAAAGGGGGAGGTTTTTACAAATGCAATTTGAAGTCATAATGGTTGTTCCTGAGAATTTCTAGAGGTGGATAATGGAACCTCTCATTCACAGTAGCAAGTCTTAGACTCTAAATTTATTTGATTCATTTGTGATCACATAAGCAGTACCTCACTGGTTCAATAAACTTTAATTCATCTTCCAAACCTTCACATAATGATCCAAACTAACCTTAAGGTTCTTCTCCAAAAATTCGAAATCTTTTTTTTGAATACAAAGTGCAATTCTACTGTGAACATAGTGCTAATATTTTAAGGATAATTTTGCTTTTTTTGCTCTTGGAATTTGCTGTATTTCAGTAAAACAGCAACAAGTTGCAAGAGAGCTATTAGAAGAGTGGAACAAACGTGAGAATAAGGATTACAGTGATCTAAGATTTGCCTTAAAGCTACATAGTCTCCTCCAACATCGTGCAATACTTCCACTTCTTGGAATCAACTATTTTTTATTGCAGGATATTAATAATATCTTCTATTTTTTTTATTTTTTTTTTTTGTCAACAGAGCACTGATACCATTTATATAAGGTCACTAATAACTATATTGGATTCAGCATTAAAATTATCAGCTGTCCCAACTTAATAAATTTCTGAGTGGCACCATATAATGTCCTTTATTAAGGTTCACTTCCATAAAGTGTGTCCCATTGTCTTTGCCTAGAAAATCAATGAATTTCCTTAAATTATTTTTGAGGAAAGTCCAGCTAAGTCAAGTATAATCTTGTGTATTCTGCTTATTCACCACTTCACTATTTGCTTTAAATTATTGCAGACAACTCAAATTCAGGGACTTCTCAGACACGAATCACTTCTGTCCCCTTTTACAGTCAGATGCTGTGCTGCCAGTTCTCCAGTTAGATACCACCCTGACTGTACTGGAAATATTTCTCACAGAACCGATCCCACAGACATCTTATTCTAATTTTTTTTTCATAATTATTGAACAAATATTTGCAGCCTATCAGAGTATTTCTTCACATACATATCTCCCAATTCTATATTTTATTTGTATTTATCATACTATAAATTTGTATTTATATACCAGTACATTTGAATCAGCTTTAGGAGAGTAGGGGAAACTCCCTTCCATTCAAACCACTTTCCCATGAACAAGGTGAAACTTTGCTAGAGTAGCCAATGTGATATTTAGCCACAGAAAGAGACATGGAACTAAAGCTCCAGACTATCCTCTGCTCCACCACTGTCGGTGGGACAGCCACAGGCAGGGAACAGCAGCTGGAAGAGCAGTCGAGAGCCGTGCAAGTGCCAGGTGTGCCACAGGATGGTGCCACAGGGTTAGCTTTGTGCGTGACTCAGCTGCTGCTTGAGTTAAGTTAGAAAAATAAAATGCTAAAGGGAATTCTGGTGTACACTTAATGGCTGGCAATATCTACATTTGACAGATAATTTAAATTCTGTCAATGGGTTTGCCATTTTCTTTATCTCTACTCATCTGATCTTCATTCCCAAATCTCATATATGTATTAGGGGTGACTGTCTGTGGACTAATCACAGTTAAAATGAACATCTGTACAGTAGGGACTTAATGCTAATGAAACAGCATAGCCCTCTTTGTCTTTGTAACTTTAATTTTATGGAATACCTGTAAAACAAATTGTTCAGAAATAATTTTAGTAGTCCAAATATGGAGCTAATAATCTACAGATCTCTTTTTGTTTGATTTTCCAAAGATTAATTGAGTATATTCCTTCTGCTATCATAGTAGTAAACCAGCCTAATGTTGGTCTACTTTGGGTAATGTTTCAGTAGTTTTGGGATTAATGAAGAAGCATATTGGTACAAGACACCTGAGAAACAGGTATTCCATTCCTTTCCTGTGGTATAATAAGGTTCTTTACACAAAGAAAAATTATTTTCAGGGAAACAACTGTTTTCAATTCTATTCCATAAAATATGGTAGGAATAGAACAAGTGCATAAGAAGGACGAACTAATTGTTTTGAGTCCATACACTCACATATTTTAATGTTGCTTGTCTAACTGTCTAGTTGGAAAAAGGTATACATTTCTTGGTTTACTAGTAATTTAGGATTTTAATCTTGAGCCTCCTCTTGATATTCTGTGTCAATGGTAACTATAGAAATGAGAAATTATGACCCAGAATACTGGTTGACAATGTTTTGTGACAAGAATTATTTATTGTCTGAATAGCTTTGCAAAATTTCAGCTGCCTTGTGGAATAACACTGCACACCTGATCATGAATTGTTACAGAAATGTACCTTTTTCACCACTAGTGAAAACAAACCAGCAACACTCCCTTCTCCATTCAGACCTTTTATTGTAAGGAAGCAAAAAATTTCACTCATAACCACAACTTTTTACAATAAACAGTTCTTCATCTTCCTCATATCTGTTCTAAGTCTTTAGGCAGTAATTATGTTTGATGACACTTAAAGACTCGAACTTTTATAGGCACAGTTACACCCAAGAAACTCATAAATCTTCATATGTGAATGAACCTATGAAATTGCTCATGACCATGGGGCTGGGTGCTTAACCCACTTTCATCAGAAAGAAATCGTAGTGTCTCACTCCAGAGGTGCAATATTAACTGACAGGAATTCAGGCAGTGGCCTCCAGGTGAAGACAATTAAGTTATCCTACCAGATCTGGAATGTGTTGGGAGCAATTCAGTGACTGGTTATAAAGGCAGGAAGGAAGGAATGTGTCCTGCTTTTCCTTGTTAGGGCTTGCTAACACCCTAAGGAAAAGGGAACTGTTTATTTTCCTCCTGGAGGGAGGGGAAAAAAAAAAAAAAAAGAAAAGGTTTTATGTTGGATGTTAAGCAGGTGATCTGAACAGCTTAACCCTTTTCACCCTTCTTACTGTATCTTATATATTCAACAGCATTCCTTTTCACAGCTTCTTTCTCTTTTTAAATTGCATGGATGCAAAGCAGGAAAAATCTGATCTACCTTATCGTTTGCCTGTAAGCTTCTCTGTCCATATTGGAGGCTACAGGAAATCGATGCTTTACCATTGGAATAACAAAAAAAACAAAACAAACAAAAAAAAAAGTAAATTAAAAAAAATCCATTTATGTTATGCATTCCCAGTGCAGAGATGCAGGTCCAGAGTGGCTGCAGATTCTCCCATATTTGGTAACACTGCTACTGCACACTGAAAATTGAAAACAGAACCTCACAAAAAGGGAAAAAAAAAATCAGTGGAATTTTAACTACAGCCCTGTGCACTCTGGCACCAGGGTAAACCTCAGAGAGCACACACAAGTATGTTATAATGCATTTTGAACACGTCTTCCTGTGGTCATTTTGATGTTCAAGACCATATGCTGCTGCTATTTCCTTCTCTTTTCCAATTCATTTCACTTGTTACACAGTGGCATTGATGGAAGACCCATTCCTGCAGCTTGTTCCAATAGAGCCTGTCTTCACAGAGCAGGTTTTGTGGCAGGAACCAGATTCAGAAACCCAGAATGAATCTCAGTACAGTAGATGTGACTCAGATATCAAAAGCAGTGAGAGAGGTAAGAAAAAAAAAAAAAAGAGTAATTATTTGCAGTGTGTGTTTGTAAAGCTGGGAACTCTCCCTGCTACAGTTTCTTGTGTTTGCTAAAAATTTAGTGTCAGGAGAGGATGACACAAGTACATGGGAGAGGAATTCACTGAGAATTACTAGATATACAGAAGTCATGCTTGGCTCAGGAAGTTTCTCAGCTGCAAATGGCTGCAAGCTCAGGAATATATTCCTGTCCAACATTCCATATCTCTCCTAAGCATTCATTCATGGCTGTTATGAGAAGAAGGATACTGGTTCTACTGGACTCTTGGTCTTACCCAGAGTAAGATTCTTATTTTGAAGCCTTATCTGTTTCCAGTCCCAGAGTTCCTTCTGTGTAAATTCTATGTTCTCAGGTTTTTACTGATGAAAAATCCTTGCTTAAGAGATAAAGTATCAGAGATTATTTAAAAAATACCTTATACTATTGAGTTTAATGCATAGCTGAAGAAATTTCCTACATTAATGCCTTCACTTTTGAGTATTTTCAGTCACACATGGATGCTGGCAGGTTATGTGAAGGACCCAATCTTTAATGGTGGTGTCTTTCACTCTTACATACTTGCTACACTGTGATAAACTATGTTATTAAAAAGAAATCATTCTACAGTACCTTTAGGTATGTGAGTAAAAAGATAAATAGGGATGTCAATTATTAGTTTCCTTTTGAGGCACTAACTGTCTATGTCTATATTCTGAGCGTAGCAGTAAATATACTTTGAAGACAAGATAGCTGTTGCTTATAAAGTACATGTACACATGTGACCATAAAAAGCAGTACATATTTCTCCCTTTTATTTCCTTTCCAATTTCTACTCGTCAGAGAAAATTTTTGTTTCTCTGTCTGATTGTGACCAGTGTTGCTGATTTTCTGCACATCTCCTAGCTTTGAAGTCTTTTAGCGTTATCTCTGAGGATTTTCTTTTAGATTTTCAGCTTCCAGCCCTTGCAAAAGCATTCTCTGAAATCCCTTTTGATGTTTTTGTAGGTCACTGACATACAGCTTTTACCTGCCAGAGGACTTCAAAGCCTGTAATGCTTGGCAGCCAAGCCTGTCTCAGATTTTTCTATTGGTTGGAAGAAGTTACTGAAATTAGACGGCAAATGCTCCAGCAACACTGGAGTCACATTCCTACACTAAAGAAGATTGCCAGTGTGGCTTTCTTGATTATATGCTGCTTCACGGCTGCATCTTGAACTGGAGGCTATCTGTCTGAAGGGGATGGTCTCCAAAGCTGCTCCACACAACAGCAGGAGGGTGACAAGGAGGGAACCACCCCAGATTTGTGGACTGCCTTTAATAAAGACCTCTGGTTCTAGAAGAACGGAATTTTCATCTCTGTAGGCTTGTACCTACTTAGACTGCTCTTCCCAGAGCACTACCAGCAGTGCCTACCAAAGCAAAAGGACTACCTGCAGTCACCTTGACCTGGCATGAGGCCTAAGCCTCCTCCCAGAGGCATCCCATCTTTGTGAATCATGGGGCAAGCTGGGGTACTCTCAGGGAATCCCCATGTGTGCCTGTTGCCTAAAATTGGCTCTTAAAAGAAACCTCTAAGACTCAGTTTTTGAGTCCTTTTACTTGTTGTTGCTGCAAGTATCATGTTGGATTATTTTACCTAGGCAAAAGGACAGAAATAGATCAGTTCTATTACTTTAACCCTTCTTTGATTAGTATCATCTTTCAAAGTATATACTGCTCTCTTAGATACAACAATTATATTTTCTCAGGTTTATATATATGCATAAAATAATAATGGTCCTGATTTTGTACACATTATTCAGTAAAGAGTTTCTGGAAGAGCAAAAACCTGGCTTCCATTACACAAAAAAATGATAAATAATATAAAATAACATGTCATTTAAAACAAGGCCAGAGTTTGTTCTCACATCTGTTATTCAAATATTATATTGCCATAGCATCTGCTATCATGCAGCTAATCAGATTCATCATTACTATTTAAAGCAAAAACAGGAAACAAAACAGACAAACCACTGTTGGTGTTGGATTAGGAATTTTTGGGCCAAGTCCAGTGAGAGACTGATGGGCTATAACACTTGTCCCAGCCCATGGCCTGCAGGGAATTCTGCATTAGGCATCTACCTCCCTGTACTGTGAATGAGAAGATTTAAGAGCCTCATTATAGGACAGCTGAACAACCTGTGCCCTGAGCAAAGAGCAGTTAAGGTCAGCAGGAAATCCCAGTCAGGAATTCAGGTGCTGCACCAAAGCTGAGCCACTCAGGAATTGTTCTTGGGATCAAGCATCTACAACTGTACAGAGTACACTATTTTTACTGAAGCTTCTGTAGAGTAATTCAGGCATTAGCATACTCAAAGACATGTCAGAGTGTTTAGTAACTTGCTCACCTTCAGAGGGCCCATACCTGTATGTTTTCTATTCGCACTTATTTGTGTGAGATCTGTTCACATGGTCAAGTCTCACAACTGCGTGGCAGATGTTTCTTTCCTCTGTTTGTAATTACATCACCTGAGTGAAGATCTAATAGTTTGAAAGAAACTAAATACTGATGGGTACAAGAGCCCAGTGAGAGTAGTGAGTCTTCTCCCAGAACCTTTGTTTGAAACTCTTATTCATGATCAAGAAGCTTTCATGTTTGTCAGTGACAGAGAGAGCAGATTTTTTTAGATGAGAAACACCACCAATGAGTTATGTAAACTGCTATGCAGGAGTGGGAGCAGAGCCCTCTCCTGATGCTAGTCTAGAGACATGCTACAAAATTCTCATGACAATATTGCCTCAGGAAACTGATCTGCATTCACTGACACAAAAGACCTAGGCAATAGCACTGTACTTTCAAAACCTATGAACACATAATAATCACTTTAGCAATTTCATTGAACAATATTATACCCTCTAGCATATATATGCACACTAGTGCTCAATAAAGTGTGATGTCATTTTAAAGACCTCAGTTAATACAGGTGATTAAAACTACTCTATCACAAAGCAGACTGTAATACCTAATTTGGTAAGAAGATGTTAGAAAGAACTTGACCGAGATATTCAGGTTCTAAAGTCCAAGGTGAAAACTACAGAATGAGCTCCTTGTGCAAAAATTACTTCCTCAGGTAATGTGACCAGCATATGAAATTCAGTAAAGCTTCAGCTCAGCCATACATTATAGCTGGATTATGTTTTCCTAGCCTTGCTAATATTATGGTCAGATGCTGTCTCTGTAGTTAGAAGGAGAGTAATCACATAGCTCTACTTTGGCACAGAGCTTAATTATCTATGAGCTTTAGTAAGGGTAGAGTATACCTTGCTCTGTACTGATGAGAATAACCTTTATTTTCCAGTTCTTTTTGGTCCTGAAATACCAAATAGTGGCCATTAGTTACACACAGGAGAATGCAGTTCATCACCTTTCCCTCACAGTATCTGAGCACTCCCTCAGCACAGTTCAGATATATCTGTTGTAACAACACAGAGTGAGGACGCTTCAGTTTCACTGTGATTAGCTCAATTGTCCCTAGCAGCCAAAATCAGCCAGCTTTGTGCTTTAATTACGCTCATTAAATAAGGTTCACTTACTTTATTATGAGGATACATATACTGAGAATATCTTACTGCAGTAAAAGACAGCGTTTTTCTTATATAATTAAAAGCAGCTAGAAATAGCTTTGGTTTAACTCTTCTTGTGTGTGTTTTCTTTCCCCCCTGCCACCAAGCTGGGAAAAAAATTGCCTAGAACACATACATAATTGTACCTGAAACAGTTAAATTGACGTAAAATCTGACTATGAAACAGTTTCTTCCTGCACGAACTGCGTAACAGCTGAGGTATCAACAGTGCTGATCTTTAGCTGAATCTTGCTTTTTTTGTCTAGGCTCCAACATAAAAATATGAATCCTGGCAACAAAACTGCATACGGAAGCCAAGTAGAGTCCCTGAGACTAGCACAGAAAGCCATCTAAACCACAATGAGAAAAACTATTCCAGCTTCCCCTAAAGCAGGTTGTGAGGTTACAGCTCCCTACACTTCAGTTTGCCAGCATCAAGGCAAGCCGTGCTCGCTGTGTTGGCAAAATGATCCAAGTGAAATGCAAGACCTTTAACCATAAGGGTTCTTTTAACCCAGATCATTTTGTCTGGTCTGGATTGGAACAACATCAGTGGCAGAAGAAGGAAGTAAGAGGCAAAAGCATAGATCTGGAAATAGAAACCACTTAACCACATGTAGTGCATTTGATTGCTACTTAAGGACCTTACCTGCTCTCCCAACCTGAAGTACACTCCATTTTCCCTCTAACAATTGTTCTTTGCCAGAGAGAACAGTGTATGTTAAATGTTAAATCCTCCTGAAACTATGGAGGATTACAGGGTTTATTTGCTACATTTGAATTTACTTAACTGTTTTGTTAATAATTAGTCAAGTTTTGGGGGAAGGAAAAGTTTCTAGCCACGCTATTTTTTTTAACCTTGTTCATCAAACACTCTACTTACTTAAACCTGTCAAGAACATATAAATGAATTTTTGCTTTAAGGCTGAGAGCAGCAACAATCAGTGCTCTCAGAAGGACCTCCTATGCTTCAGAGCAGTGAGACAGAAACCCAGCCAACAGCAAGAGCCCTCCCCAGCACCCTGCAGGCCCGGCACCACGAAGGCTTTCAGAAACTGGGTGACACTGTCTCTGTAGCGTATAATCTACTTCCAACCCTTAATTCAAATCACAAAGCCAACAGAAGCTGCATCACAACCCCCTTCTCCTGCAAGGCAAATCCATCACGACAGTTTTCCTTACCACCTCTCTCGGCTGGCAGGCAGTAGCCCGGCTGCCCAGAGCACATCAGACCAACAGCGCCCGGCTGACAGCCTTTGGCAAGATACCACCAACAAGGGGTTCCCAGCCAAACCTCCTGTTCCCTGTAGAAACAGGCTGTTTCTCTGCTAACCCTTAATTGTTGGGCTTTCTCTCCCTTAAATCCTGCTGGTACCGGTAGGGCAGGTGGGGCTAACCGAGCCAGGTTAGCTTCAGGCCTCCTGGCTCCCAGAGCAGCAGGTCGCTGTGCCGTAATTACTGTTGGTTAATAGCGTGTTTGGCAAGCTGCGAACATTCTGGAAGTTGTTTCCTTCATGCAGTCTTTCCTCTCATTCCTCACCACCCACTGTTCTCCTTGGCAATTGCTAGTTAAGGTGGAAGTTTTTTAAGAAACTGCTTGTTAAAAGTTAGGAAATGGGGTGCTGCCCATGCCAGTGGCAATCCTTTTCCCTGGAGGATTAGCAAATGGAGTTGTTCTGTGTCCAGTTGCATTTCTCTCATCATGCTTCCAGCCTTGCATAATTTTTGAGAAATAATTTAGGATGTTATGTAGCTCATCCTGAGCAGGGCAGGATGCCATGTAAAAATAGGGAAGAGCGGGGAATGAGTTTTAAATTAGATCAGTTGAACTAACTGAAAAGAAAAAGTCAACAATTTGGGGGCATCAGGTTTGAGAATAACGGCTCTGCATTAAGCTAAAAACCAGCTAGGTCATCTGAGAAAAAAAACAGGCAATAATTGTAAAATAGAGGAGAGATTAGTGGATAAGAGGACTACTGGCAAGGGGAGAGGTGATTGAGTGATTATCTCCAATAGAAAAAAGGCCTCATTCATCATATTAAAAAGCATGGAGGGACGTATCTTGGGGGTGAATTGCAATGAGCCATTAAACAAAAAATACATTTTTTAATACCTGCTAAAGCTATAAATTTCATTTCCCTTGCTCATCTTTTGAAGTGTTTTGTGGTCTGCCTTGAAGATTAGGACTGAGAGACGGCTGTGAGAAGAGAGATGGTGAGAGAAGCACGTCTGCAGGACACGGGCTGCTCCTGTTTTCTATCAGTTGCCTCTGCAGGTTCATTCCAGTGCATAGTGGCTGCTGCAGTTTCACCCACGTAGCTCCCCTAGGGGCATTTGGTGCACTGACTGAAATGTAAGATGTTCTAGGAAGGGTGCATGAATTTTATATCTTGATGGTTTCTCAGGTATGTGGGTGGTATTTTCTACAACCAGACAGCAGATCTTGTAAAAAAAAAATAAATCTTTTATAAATTATCAGTAGATGCAGTGGGGTTGGGGGATCAACTTTCTGAGTTTTCTCAGACTTTATAAAAATAATTTTCAGACTATTCATTAAAACTTAAACTTTAGCAGTGGGCAAAGTTTTGTTTTAGCAAAAATATCACATTATTTCCTTTAACAGAAGCTGAGTCTTTAATGGTTTTCTGATATACAGATTATGTTGGACTTTTGCAGGAGCCTGTATATAAATTCTTAAAAATAAATGGTTTATGGAAATACTTCTTGAGATCAGAATGCTGCTTACTGGAATGTAAGCAGAGGGTGGAAATTTCTACCAAGTTACCTCTCTAAGTAGTTTGTTAAAAATTATTTAAAGTCATGCTCAGTGTGTGGCCAGGATCGAGGTCCTTGCTGCTACTCCCCTTGCAGACTTGGCTGTTAACAACAAAAATCCAGCTCTGTATCAAATGCTTATCACTCACAGCAAGCTATATACTCATAATTTATGTCTTCCAACTAGTCTAGAATATCTGGCACTTCTGCAAATACATAGAATATAGACAGTATTTTGAAATTCATTCCTCAACTAAAGTCACCTTCCCAGTTCTAGTTACATTAATGCTGCAGACTAGAAATGTTTCTTTTCTTAACAGTAATTGCAAGCTGCAAGGTAGAGCAGCTTTCATCATACAGGTACTTCTTTGGATTTCAAACTGACTTTTTGTGTGAGTAAAGTACTGTTCAGCACTAAGAAGGAAGAAATGTACTTGGAGTTTGCTTTTTTGTTGGTTTGTCTTTTTTATTGTAACAGATATGTGCTATTGCTTTTATTTT